ATATTACACCAGTGGCAAAACTGTGTCATGTTCAACTTTACCAAAATATTATTCATCAAGATATGAGTAGTTCATACTGCCCACCACTAGCAAATACAAATGTTTCCCTTTCCTGATTTTCCATACCTTTCATGGAGCAGTGTGGTAGGAATTGTTGGGATTGGGGGTGGGATATGGTGTTGTTTGAGGCTTAATGAAACCCCAAAGCCAAAGGGAATCTGGATGTCATAGTCTTGCTGGTTCATAAACTTCAATCTTCCATTATCATGCTTACACCAGGCAATTTCTTCTCTAATAGAACATGTCCCCATGATAAACCAGGCTCCTGAAATACAGTAACTCCCCAGTAGATGGCACTAGTTATGCTGACTGCCCTAGTTTTTTCTATTACCCAGTTTAATAGAGGGTTGTCTCCAGAAGAATGTGGAACTGGACTGACCCTGAGAAGCAGGCAAATTATGTTGCATGAGAGAACTACCCCAGTACAAGGTATGGCACATGGAGGTAGGCTCTGGAAGCTTTCTTTGTAATGCTCTTCATGCCTGCAACCTCTCTGCACTTCAATTTGGCCAATCCCCTCCTCAACCTTTTTTTTCAGTTGAGGAAACAGGTCCCTTTGATGTAATAAGACAGGTGCTGCCACATGTAAACAATTGCCGGGATGCCATAAAATCTACTTAACAAGACCAAGTGCTTTGGCCAACTTTACTCAGTGCTCACTCCTGACTCTGCTCAGGCTTCCATTTGTGCCACATTCGTAGTAGGGTCAGCTGTGTGTAAGGCAAGTGCGTTACCTGCTGTGCTCCCTCTGACCCTAAAACTTTTAATATAGAGAGGATGAAAAATTTACCAGCACTGCTAAGGGCTATTTGGGTGTATTTAAAATATCCTCATTCAAGGGTGATACAACAGCACAGGTATATAGGCCGGGCCGGACAGCCGGCGAGGCATACAAGTAAGTAGTTGATAAACCACTCACTGAGAATTTTTGTTCAACGTATATTTAGTATCTGTACCAAGAAACTATATCCAGAGGAAAACTTGAATTTCTAGAACTAGATTCAGGGTATTAGAAGTACATCTGCCTGTCCTGTCATCTAAGAGAGACAGGACACTTTTAGGGGCTTTAAGCATCCCAAAGACTGGACCTTTCCCACCACTGATCTCTAGTAATGAAGGCCAAGTAACACCACCATAGATACCTGACCACAGCACTGATTCTATCTAGATTATTTAACCTAATTAAAAATACCCAATGCTCACATCCAGAAGCCACTGAACCCCTTCTGCTTGGAAGGACTCTTCTCTCACTATCCATTTGTTCTGTCCTTTGGGAGCCACCTACTTTCAAGTATAATTTTTTTCCATGTTAGAACATCCAACAATCCAGAACTTCAGTATATTCTAGTTTCAGAAGTCAGATATAAATACATCTAAGGGGATTATCAAGGGCAGGAGCCACGAATCTTTGAAGAACAGCTCTCCAAAACCTACAATTATGAAACTCTCCTTTTGGTAGAGCAAAGGAGCAATTCCACATTTCTAGAAAGTTTGAGAAAGTCTCATTCAATCCTTATAAACACTTAGCACATTGCATTCAATATATATTCAGTCTTTGTACCAAGAAACTGAACTCTTGTATCATGAGAGTTGTGATGAGAGTGTAACTGGCAAAATTTACTTGAAAATTCTGACAGGAGCGATAGCACAGCGGGTAGGCCATTTGCCTTGCACACAGCCAATCGGGGTTGGATTCCCAGCATCCCATATGGTCCCCCAACCACCGCCAGGAGTAATTTCTGAGTGAAGAGCCAGGAGTAACAACCCCTGTGCATCGCCGGGTGTGACCCAAAAAAGAAAAAGTTCTGATTAGGAATGGGTTTAAAAAAAAAAAAAAACTATTTGAGAGTATGATGAGTCCTTCAAATGTTTGTATATGATGGTGAGGTCTGTGATATTGGGATGTCTCAGGACCTGATTGAAAATGCATTTTCAATGAAATCATGGATTACTTACCAAGTCTTCCAAAAGGCTTAAGTGAATGGTTTCCTAGCCAAATGCCTCCCTGTTGAAATGCTCATTTTACATTAGTTTCATTATAGTGTTTTAAAAAACTCTTACCTTTGGATGCTTTTAATAAGAAATGTCAGGGTAATGTCAGTTAATTAGGACATCATATGGGATAGTTTACTCTTAATCTGTTCTGTGCTTAGAGAAACATTATTACAACCCCAAAAATCAAAACCCTGGAGCAGTTACAATAATTAATTTGCTACATGCCTACCAAAGAAAAGTTCAAGGGTTTTGGAGAACTATGAATTTAACCTGGACAGCAAAAGGTTTCTTTGGCTCTCCCTCAGGTCTATCAACATATTATGCACTAGTGTATTTTCCAAAGGTCACAATTAGATTTCCTTAGGAGCATACCTTATCTAATTATAACCACTTTAAATCTGAGGGAGTCTTTACCAAGATTTTGTCATTAGTTTGGAACTCATTACACAGGTTTTCACATGGCCACATACACTTTTCCCAGTGATATAACAGATATTATAGAAAAACCTTTTGTTTGAGGACTACTATCAAAAATGTTTGGTGAACCATGCATATTGGGTCATGTGTAAGGAAAGTGCTTCAGTACCAATAACCTCTCAGGCTGATTTTTTTTTCCTTGAAATGTTAAGCTTCATCAGATGAAGAGTGAAGGTTAAGCACCTGCACTGCATAAGCAGGAGGCCCAAGCACTGTGTGGTCCCCAAGTATCACCAACAGCTGGCCCAAAACAAGACCAAAAAAGTTGGCAGATAGGGGATTGAAGCAAAGCCACTGTAAGTCAAGAAATAACCAGTGTGCAGACCTACAGGTAAGACTTGAGTTTGGTGTAGTATTCACGTTAATATTCTGAAGTGGTTGTTAGCTCTAGAACCTTTCCAAATACACTGGAAATCTTTAGTCATAACAGGTCTAAATTGTTTGGAGTCAACAGTCATTACCTTAATAAGAAAAAAGGGAAGCCATTTCTGCTATTAAACTGGAACATCAGGGACCAGAGATATGTACTGGGGTAAAGGTGCCCTCTATGAACGAAGCTGTCCCCAGTTCCATTCCTACAACTATTTATGGTCCTTCAATCACTGCCAGGATCAAGTCATCAGCACCACCTGGTTTGGCCCAATGTCTCACCTCCTTCACCAAAAAAAAAAAAAACAAAAAAACAAAAAACAAAACCCTTCAACGTCATTGTGTACTCAAGCTGAGAAAATTCAAATTCATGCCTTCAAAGAAAAATTATTCAAGGTTAATTACCTTCCTAGACCCAATATTCTATCATGAATTGTAACATTTTTACTGGTTTTAGCACGGTTCCCTTGTCATTAATATTTAACCCAGCAAATTAAGTTCCTTCCAAATGGTAAATAACGAAAACTCGAATAACCAACTCAGGACTATTAAATATTCAGGATATCCTCAAGCTGAACTGTCCTCAAACCTGACAGCTGAAATGTCGATGTATAAGCGTACTGAAACCTTTACTATTACATCAACACTGGGCCTTCTAGATGGATTTCACTGTAGCAACTCCCCCAAGAACCTGTCCAGATAGAAGGAAAAGTCTGATGCTAGATTTCAGTCACTTTAAGAACTGTTTCGTAGGGTTTTTTTGGGGGGGTGGTAGGAGGGGAGGAGTATGGAAGAGCAGAGGGGAGAGGAGGTTAACCCTAGCAATGTGTATTTCTAAATTAAATGGATTTTGCTTTCTGTAGATGTTTAAACTTATTTCAAAGTTGACAGCTGAAAGCAGCAGGAAGGAGGGTTCCTCTTAACTTCTTGACGAAGTTAAGTTCCTCTCAATTTCTTGAAGTACTGTCCAAGAAGACTGGTAAGTCAAATATTCATTATGGACTGTAATTCATTTTGCTTTGGTTTTGAAGTCTTCCCTTAAGAAAAAAGAAATTTGTTAATAAACAAAGAATACAGAACAACAAAGTTAAATTATTGAGGCAACTGTCAATTACAAAGTTTAAGTTTAGTCTTTCTCTAACCTCAACACATTAAAGGATTACAAAACTTCCATTCCTAATCCTTTCTTTCCCCTTGTAAGTAAGACAACAAACATTTGACTGCTTACCATGTGCCAACAACAAAATCACTTATATATACATCTACAAAGGGGTAATTATTACCATAGTACTTACTTGTTCCTATAGTTGTGAAACTAAAGCTTAGAGAAGTTTCAAGTGTAACTTGAACACCACCGATGAAGAAGGAAGTCTACAACCAGAAGGCCAGCAATTCATGCTTGACAGTAATGTTTCAAAACTAAAAATATACTTTTAAAACTATCTTAAAACTATAATTTAACTAGAAGTAACAGGGACATTAGTGGAGGAACATGAGCACTTTGGTGGCAGTTGAGTTTGGAGGAAGTAACCAAAACCATCAATTTTAATACGATTATTATACAATTATCAAAATTTAAAAAGTAAAAAAATATAATTACCTTTGAAAACTATTCTCCACAAATAAGTGTTATATAGCTGCTAATTCTACTTAAGATTTTAAAAACTAACTTTATTTTAGCATCTTGAGAAAATATTTATCAAAAATAGATTACCTCTAATTATTGTAGGGATAAAAGAAAATTTTGCTAAATATAACCATTAGGAACTATAGATCATATCAATGGTTCATAAACAACTCATCAGTTCCTCTATGCCCTAACACCCTGAACAGTGCCTAATGTATTGTATGTACTGTATACATGATGTTGTGGGAAATATGGAATTAAAACAAACCCAAAATCTGGCACAGATTCTCTATGTTCAAAGATTCCTGCAGTTCTCAAAAGACAATCTACTCAAATTATTTTGTGGTATGAAGTCAGGAGAAAGAAAAAGTGACAAACATGAAGCTTAGTAACAGCCAAGTTAAACTTGCCATTTTAACAAGAGTAAAATGAACTTGGCTTTATATTACGTAATTAAAGGAACAAAATTAAGTCTGTTAACATTAATGCAAGTTTTATTTGAGAGAATATTAAAGAGCTGAATTTTTAACAAAAAAAAAGAAAGAGTAGTCATCCACCCCCTACAGTAATGAGTGAAACTGGGGACCTCTTTTATACATACATCAGTACTAACTTCGCATTTCTGAATAAAGCTGCATTTGCTTCTTTGAGAGTCATTTTTAACTTTTGTTGTTAAGGCTATGTGAACTGTGTTCAGAAAATTTGATAAACACACACACACCTCAAATAAATTACGTACCTAAGAGTTTCACTCAAGGCTGAGTATCTCTAAGTACCTAAGACCCTATAACTTAAGAGTGCAATGTCGCTACATAAATTCAATTTGAATCACCTTCACTATAATTTTACCATAATTTAAAAAAATAATTAGATCAATGTTTTCAAAGACACTGTAGTTCCCTATTTGACATGGTAGTTCCAAAAAATTTTTAAGGCCTCAGTTTTAAATTTCCTCCAATGAAATACACAGAATTGACAAATACTAAGAATACAGCCCTAAAATAAACAGATTTTTACCTAAAAATTACTTTTTACCACACAGATCACAATGTGTTTCAGAATTCTGATAAAGGACATTTTTGGTAATAAAACAATTTAGATGGCTCAATGTGATAAGTCTCAATGGTAGTCAATGAAAAGACAATCAGTATTAGAGTTACATTCAAAACTGTTCATAATGACAGAGCTTTTGTTTTCCTGGTAAAGGGGTTTTTTGCTTTTGTGTGTGTGTGTGTGTGTGGTTATTGCTTTAGCTTGCAATATTTGAATGTAAGACAAAGATCATCTCCCACTAAGCCTTATTTTAAGTATTACAAAAAAGGACACAGAACATAGACTCATAGAGGCCATAATGCTCTTGAGTAACTGACCCATGAAAAGGGTGCAGTACTTGTTAAAGGATATCTGAGGATCTTTTTGTTCTAAAAATAAATGCCCCTACTTTTTCCGAGTGCTCCCATTCTTCAATAGGAGACAAGCAGCTTTACAGTTTTTCTATAAAAACAAACCACTCATGTTAACAAACCAAAACATAAAAGAAAACCAGCAATGGACAGTCTTCACAGTTAACAATAAATAAAAGTGCAATAAGTGTTCAAGTAAGGACACGTAGTTTCACAACTACGTGTGAGTATTTGGCATAGGTCATCTTTTAAAGGCTCTCCGAGGGTCCCTGCCATTACTTATTGTGGTCATAACTGTTTGATTACTAGCTGTTCCTGGTAGCTGTGGATTTATAGGTCCCCGGCCATTGCTTCTACCAGCATATGAAAATTGGCATCCCCTTGATTCTGGGCCAGTGGAAACCCCATTTCCTAAAAAAGAATATAAAAATTCATCACTATTTTCAGTTACTTAACTACAAAAGTCCACCTATTTGAAGTTCTAACATATATCAATGTTTCCAAGTATTGTTAGAAAAAACAAATGCCTTTATTCTTAAACTACTTGAAATCCATGTAGATTCTACATAATCGTTGAGAAACTGACTTTTCAAATGTTACATACAGTAAATATACTTACTTTTATGTTGTATTAATAGGGCAAGGTGAAAAAGATTACTTGGACAAATAAATGAGAAAACTAGTGTAGAAAAGAAAGCATACGTAATATACTCTTTGTAGTTTTAAAGGAAAAAAGAGTATGAGTATACTGACATTTGGTTCAAATATAACTAGTATTTCAAGAAATCTTGCTTCTTCTAAAGGAAAACAGCAGTTTTCCACAATGTGATGATCCAATCAGTTACACATGTACGTAGTCAATCTGGTCAAATAAAGCTTAACTACCTAATGAACTCTAATTACATAAGTATTTAAGAACCAGTCATTTAAGAACCAAGATTTTTTAAAGATCATTTTAATGTGAGTTCAAGAGCTATTAACATGCTCTTTCATAGTCTTTGGAGGACAAAGACAAAATAACAAGATTAGAGAAATCATATAAAAATCACCAATACTTAGATTCTTTATTATCTACTACTTACCACTCTATTCCCAGTAAGATCCTTATGCTTAAATATAGAATGTACTCAACAAATCAGCCCAAGATGAGCTTCCTAAAAATCAGTATTAGGAGCAGTTTCTATTAACTGGTTCCCACGTTTTATTAATTTATGACTAAAGACAGAATTTTCCTACAATCTTTCATAAGAGAGTATTTTTTATACCTGATCATAAATATGAAAAAGAAAATCTTACCAACTGGTCCAAATGTACCTGTAACCATATTACTATTCATGGAATTATTCTTCTGCTCACTGGGTGCCTAAAAAAAATTAATTTAACCAAATGAATTTTTGTAAAACTGCCTTCATACTGCTTGCTATAGTCTTTTAGTATCTATTTTATGTTTGAAGCTCTTTAAAAAAACATTCTTCAAGATTAATCAAACTTTACTCAATATGAAGTATTTACCAATACTTCCCAACCTTTTATAACTTTTGCTAATCTTGCATACATCTTAGTATCATTCCCAACTATCCCAAGAGCTAAGTGGTGCATATATGTAACATGATGCTGCTTAGATAAGAACAGACTCAAAACAATGAAATATGTCTACAAAACTATTTTTAGGACCTGAGAGACAGTACAAGGGCTAAGAATTTGCCTTGCATATGGTCCACCCGTAGCTATCTCAATACTCAGAGAGCCACTCCCGACTACAAAGTTGGGAGTCACCCTATCACCAGTACCAACCGAAACCCAAAATGTACATATATTACATGTATATAAAATGTATGCATGATTAAGTTGTCTTCCTTATACTCTGGCTATCACAGATTTGAGAACACAACCAAAGAATTATAATTGATCAAAATATTATCCTAACCATAAAAACAGACTGTACATTTGGATTAATTACCCCTTTGCTCTGTTGTCCTCGAAAGTCTAGGTTAGGTTCACTGAAATTTGGCACTTCTGAATAAACCATACAAAATCTGAAAGAAAAAGGTAAATGACTTCAGAAGTAAAGAAACCAGCCTATCTATAACGTGACATGCAAAACTAAAAGAAATGAAGAATTGAGGTGTCAAACTGAAAGAAAGCAACAGACTACATTTACATCAAAACTTTCTAAATGATATATTCCAAAAAATACACAATTGCCTGTAATGTATGAAATCATTCTGTTCATTAGTTTTTTGTTTTGTTTTGGGGGCATACTCAAAAGTGCTCAGGGCTTACTCATGACTCTGCAATCAGGAATCACTTCTGGTGATGCTCTAGGGACCATTTTGGGTGTCAAGAATTAAATTTGGGTCAGCCATGTCCCTACCCACTGTACTATCTCTCTGGCCATCTATTTTGTGTTTTCACTCCTCTGTACTACAAAAACATAAAGAATGTCAAAGATCAAGGACACAGAAACACATCTTTGTCCTGTTTTTCCACATAGGCGGATGCCACTCAACCATGCATAGGTTTCCAGAGTGGTTTTTCCAGTAGTGGTGATGGATTTGCACTGATCCATTCACACACTCTCATCCAGTCCCTCTTTTGACCAATCACAGTGAATCTGCAAAGATAATCATTTAAAGTTAAGAGTGGATTATGCAATCGATTAAAAGACAACTGGCAATCAAGATAAAAGTTTTCCCAATACTTTCAGGTCACTGGTATTTATCATTCACATGTTATTTCCACACTTAGAACCAGTGCTGCTAAGTGCTAGAGTGAGTCTAACAAAGAATCTGTCACAAAGAACTGAGTGACTTCCAAGGGTTCTTCACATAGCTGATCTCCATCACAATGAACACTTCTGTACCACATCAAAGCTGGAACAAGGATCTGATGACTGATTATTGATGCTAAGACCTACCATTAACAACACACTGCTCTAGCCCTTTTCTAAATATGTGGACACAAGCAGCTTCCAAACACTAGCAAAATTATATTTTCCTCAAACTACCTTACTCTTGAAATATGGAAAAATTTTCCTTTTTTATTACTATCTCTTGTAGCTCCTCTCTTTAAAGATTTTCTCATTTGATGGACCTTAAGTAGGCTTCTAAGCATGAACACAATAAAGTGAACTACTAACTTGGCTCACTGCCTACACCAAGTTACAGAGGACATCCCAGAAGTCTAGGCTAGGCACAGAGGCTGAATTACCTTTACACCCCTAGAGAGGATGGTTCCTCCAAGTCAGGGTGGAGATTAGCAGGCTAGGAGTATATGGAAGCTCGCATTGCGGCTGCCTGTACAGGACCTAGACTGTGGATAAATACAGGACTTCAATTTGCATTGCTTTTAAGTCCTTTCACCATAGTCAGACATACAGAGTAGTCAGACATAAAGAAAAAGAAAATTTAGACACGGCCTAAAACTCATTATCTACCTTTTTATTGGGCAATTTACTAGAAGACAAAACCTATTACAAAAGACACCTGTGGCACCTCAACGCCATGTGCTCATGGCCTACAGAATGGTCCCATAGGAACTTGTCACAAAAGTGCAATTTCTTAATGACCGTTGCCAGGAACAAATCCAGTATTTTCTACCATAAAAAGAAAATCTATGGTTGAGGGCGGTTAAGCTAACATATAGTGCAAAATAATTTTCAATGCTGCTGAAGGACATCAGTTTACCAGTTCAAAAGGAGCGAAGAGGTTCACAGCATAGATCTACACTTACTCTTAGATATGACTAATAACTTACTCAATTATATAAAATTATACTTACTCTCCAATTTTTTGAAGTTCACCGCCCCTTCCAGTATAAAGTGTCAGACATCCTTTCCACATGGATGCATATCTATAAAAAGAAGTAGCAGAAAACTATCTGTGCCCTTCTCAAATTAAGTAAACCATTACTTTTGTTGCATACTCTATGCATTTGGAAATGGAGCACTCTGTCTACAACAGTGTATCAAATACAATTAATCTAATTTGATTAACCTCTTGGCTTATTTTAGGGGTGCAAGACTCATACAGAGCCAGGTATAGAATCTTGGCATCCTGCAGGCAAAGCACACACACACACACACACACACACACACATATATATATATTCTCAGCCCACTGAACTCTCTCTCTGGTTCCTTTATAATCTTATGGGAAAAACTCACAGAAAATTATATTGCCAAATCTTGATGAAATTCTCTAAATAACTAACCTCAGAAAATATAATGTCTTTGCAAAGTAAAAAATGTTCTACTTCAAAGAAACCTTTTTGTTTGTTTTTGGTCAATTAATAGAGGAAAAAACTTGCAACTGCAGGTATTCAAAGCATAAAACTGCTTTTTTGTGGATACATAAATTCAATAACATCATATTTGACTTTTAGTCTCACTGATTAAGTGCAGTTAGACACTAATATGATAATTTTCTTCTTGTACCCATTCAACACTTACAATTCTGGAGCCATTAAAACTTTCGCAAATGTAATCAAGAAGATGAAAAATAAATGAAGACTGCAAATAATTCACCTGTCTTTCCAAATTTGTAATTCTAAGTGCCAAGTAGGCTGAAAAAACTGTTTACTCTAACAATTTCAAATGCAGACAGTATCATTAGGAAAAATAATCACAGCACACAAATCTAAGCAAAATGTAAAGCGGTTCAAAGTTTGATTTTGGATCTCTGTACTATTATTAATAACTCGTGACTCAGAATAACTTTTTAAATTTATTTTGGATTTGGGACTACACCCAGAGATGCTCAGGGGTTATTCCAGGTTCTGCACTGGGAAGTTAGTGCTGACAGTGCGTGGGAAACTATATGGAATGCCAGGGATCAAACCCAGTAGGGCAGTACAAGGCAAATGCCCTAAGTGCTGTACTATCTCTCTGGCCCCACAGAATAATAGTTTGACAGAACATTGTTTAACTTAGTATAACAATAGTTTTTAAATATAGATTAATAAAAACTTTCCATGTTAGGGGCTGGAGCGATAGCACAGCGGGTAGGGCGTTTGCCTTGCACGCAGCCAACGTGGCCGAACCGGGTTCAATTCCCAGCATTCCATATGGTCCCCCGAGCACCGCCAGGAGTAATTCCTGAGTGCAAGAGCCAGGAGTAACCCCTGAGCATTACCAGGTGTGACCCAAAAAGAAAAAAAAAAAACAAAACCACAACACTTTCCTGTTATTTCTCTTCATTTAGTAAGAATTATTTACTTGGGGCTGGAGAGAGAGTACAGCAGTGAAGGCAGTTGGCACTTGTCTTGAATGCCACAGACCCAGGTTCAATCCCTGGCACCTCCAGGGGTTCCCCCCAACCACCAGCCGCCCCAAGCACTGCCAGGAGTGATCCCTGAGTAATAAGCCAGAAGAAACCCCCGAGTATTGCCAGGTGTGACTCAAAAACAAAACCAAACAAAAAAATGATTTATTCAAGACTAATTTATCACTTTCATTATTTAAGTAACAAAAGAGTGTACGAAATTTTAACTTAATCATGATAAATATGAATGCACACTGAGAAAAAAAAAGGAAGTTGATTACATTTAAAATATTTAACTCGCTTGTTTCAGAAACGATTGTACGACTGCCTGATAAACAGGTTAAAAGTCAAAATTATTTCGTTGTTTAGCCCATTCTTTAAAAGCTACTTTTCTTACATTCAACTAAAATTTAAGGACACTAGAACTGGCAAGGCCCCACTGTATGTTTTAAAGCATAACAAATCCCATCTTAATGAAGAGGAAGTTGAGGAGTACTAAGTTAGCAAACAGTACTTTTTCAGTTTTGAATTTTCCTTTGAATTGTATGCATTGCTAACTGTTCTCCTCAAAATCCTTGGGGTTTTGTTTGGGGTCACACCTATAGTGATCAGGGCATACTCCTGGCTCCTTCTGGCTCTGTGCTTAGGGATCACTCCTGGTGGTGCTCAGGGACCATTTGTGGTGCTAGTACTCAAACCTAGGTCAGTGCAAGGCAAGCAGTCTATCTGCTGTACTATTTCTCTGGCCCTGATCAAAATCGTGAATTGCTTAGTTTTCAAAAAAATCTTTGATGGGCCTATATGTATATATGTATATTATTTGAAATGAGGTACTTTTTACAGTGTTAAGCCACAGGATAAAATTTAACAGCTTCCAAAATGCTAATCATTAATACAGCTTCCCAGGCATGAATTATTTTTTGTCTAAGAGACATTAAGTTTAAAGCACACAATCCATGTCACCATGAGTCAGTGGATGGGAATTAAATGTCTAAGTTCTGACTCTCACTTCCTTCTTTGATGACTCTGCACCTCACTTCCTGAAGATGGTGTTAAGGCCTGTAAGATCTAATCTAAGGGCTTTAAGTCTAAATTCCTATGTTCATGGAGATCATGGCAACTCATGGTAATGCAAATTACTGATCTCCCCCCATTTTTTCTAGTTATCACGAATAAATTGGAATTTCATTAACCACAAAGCTTCCAAAAGCCATCTCCAAAACCCTCTTCCTGCTTTTTAGCCTTCAAATATAAATATTTGGTAAAATAACGTTTGCTTTTCCTAAGCAGCCTTAGTAACCAACACGAAACAAAATATTGCTAAATTAGTTTTAAAAGCCAATCTGCCAACTTCTAAATATTACTCTCATCTTTGTACAACACAGGCATTATAGGGAGTAGGCAGAACTCATTTTCCTGAATGTGCCTTCCAAATTTTGTAAGTTTCCCCTCTTTTAACACCTGAATACAAAGTTGACATACCCCAAAAAAAAAAAAACCCCAAAACAGAACAAAAAAATTGCTCTACTTTCCAACTACGGCCTTATGTCCTCACGGTGTAAATAAAATATGCAAAATATTTCAAGTTTCTAAAGTGGGGGTGGAGGAGCAAGTTCTGACAGCTACACTAAATAACTTATGAGAAAATCAAAATGCTCATCTTACCAAGTTGCTCGAAAAACTCAATCTTCCTACAAGAGTACCTAAATTCGAAAGGGAGTGGAGGGGGGTTGGGGGGGGTGGGAATGTGTTGGGATTCCTGGCTGAAGTGGCTGTTTTTAATGGCAAGTGTCCCAAAACTCAAGGCGGTTCCCCATTAAAAGTTACTACCCAAGAGGGGCCCGAACTTCCTTGGACCAGCCCATGGGCAAGCCGCGAAACTTGTCAAAGTTGCAGTCTCGGGAGTGAGCCCACCCAAGTCCCCGCAGGCTGCTGCAGGGGAAGCAACCCCCCCCACCCCCGCCCCATGGCCTGCCGCCCCCTTCCCGTCCCGTGCACACCTACCCTCGGGTCAAACGAATAATATCCCCTGGCTGTATAAGACCTCCGATTTCATCCCACACGGAAATAGTGATGCTGCCCGTTTTATCTGCTACTTTGCATGATCGCACTTCATGGCCGTCTTTGGTTTTGGTCACGCGTCCTGCGAGGAATTGAAAATCAGAAGGGGAAGGGGGGGGGGAATGGTTAGAGCTGAAGGACTCCTAGGGAGGTGGGCTAACTCTGCTCCGGGACCCTCGCGCACGCAGCCAGGCGGCGAGCGCAGCAAGTCCGGCCCCAAGCCGAGCCGCAGGAGGTGCACCACGCCGGGGGTGGGGGGTGGGGTAAGGGTGGGGGCAGTAGGGCCACGTGGACGGGGGAGGGAAGAGGAGGGATGGGGCGGAGGGGGGGAGAAGGGGAGGCGGGGGGAGGGGAAGGGAGCCCCTGGCTCCCCTGCCCCGGGACGCACAGTGGCGGCGGGGCTAGGCTACGGGACCCCTCACTTACCTATCTCCAGGACAATAAAGACGACATTTAAGTTTTTCAGTCCGGGCTTAATATCTTTTATAAAAAGAGGTGGGTCGTTGACCCCATTCATAATCGAGGCAGGTGCGGCTACGGCTGCCGAGACGCGGATGGGCAGGGAGTGGGACAAAGCTTCCCACCCTCCCGGGCCAGGGGCGAGGGCGGAGGGGCGACCTTGGGCGGGGGGTGGGGAGGGGGGGGTGGACCGCACGGACCGAACGCAGTTAAGTCTGGGACCCAGGAGACCTGCCCAGACACACTGAAGTCTTTTTAAAAAGAGAATGCAAAAAATGAAATAAAAAGCAAAAAAAAAAAAATTTTTTTTAAAGGGTAGGAAAAAGAAAAAAAAAAGCACTCACAAGTTCAAAAAGAAAAAAAAAAAAAGACGAAGCACTCGGCACAGCAAGCCCCACGCCCAAGCGGGCGGAAGGCGAGGCAAGCGTGCCAAGTGCCCTCTTAATGGGGATTCAAAAAAAAAAAAAGGAATGGGTAAAAAAAAAAAAAGGTGGGGGCAGCAAAGGGGGCTGAGAGCCTCGGTCCTTAAAGCCGCTCAGACACAGACGGACGCACGCGCCCAGGCCGTTCCCGGCGCCGGGGAGAGACCAGGCTGTGACAGCAAAGAGGGGGAGCCGCAAGCACAGAACCGCACAGCCGGCGTCCCGAACAGCGACTGGCGAAGACGCCCGCGCGCCCGCAGGACCCCCGGGTCGCCCCGCCCCTTTGTGACGTCACGCGCCGTCCGCGCGCCCGCCGCCCCGCCCTCCGCGCCCGGGGGAGGGGCCGCCAGGAGGCCCGGGCCGGCCGCGCAGCCTCCCTCGCTCCTCCCCGGGGCTGTCAGTGCCGGCCCCGCCCCCGCAGCCGTCCAATCGGCTCTCGGACCCCGCCTTCCTCATTCTCCTCCTCCTCTCCGTCCTCTTCCTCCCCCTCCTCTTCCTCCTGCTCCTGCTCCTCCTCCTCCCGCTCCTCCTTCCTCCTTGAAGCTTCACCTTGTTTCCTCTTCCTAGTTTTCTTCCTGCGGGCTTTTGGGGGGTTTTTCCACCTCCAGTCCTTCTGCTCGGTTTTTCTTCTTTCTATTTTTGGTTTTCGAATTCGACCTCACCCCTATCCTGTCATGGACTTGGGTCGCTTTGATTAAGACCCACTGGGTAGGTTGAAAACTTGTTAAGAAAGGCTTCAAACGGGGCTGGGGTTGGGAGGGGTAGGGGTCGAGAAGGAGAGAAACCGGCAGAGTTGGGTCCTTAAACTGTAAGATTGGAATTTTAGGACTAGTAAGGAATTTGGAGATCAGCCCAGCAGCCTCTTTTTCAGCTTATTAAAGTTTGAAGTCCGGAAATGCGCGGTAGGTCCTCCGCTTGAAGGTCATCCAGTTTTTGAGAAGACAGATCTGCAACTTGCAAGTTCTCTTTGTAATGTTCACTCTGATACTATGTGAATAGTCAAGCAGTTAACATTTCTTTGCAGATTTGTTTTTCCTTATCTTTTCCCTCGCGTTTTTCCCTCTCTGTTTCTTGTTTGTGTTTTGAGTTGCCAGGGAATTAACTGAAGTCTGTACACACTCAACTGTTCTAAAGTGTTTGGTTCCAATAAAACAGAAGGCGACACAGACTTCTATACCCCCCTGCTCGTACATATTTTTCCATCAATATTCCCCATACGAGTGATATTTTGTCAGAGTTGATAAACCCTATTTTAGCTCAGATGACCCAAAGCCCATAGTTGCTGTGGGTTCCATTTTGATGTTATATGCATGGGTTTGAATAAATGGATACACATCCAAAAAGCATAGAGGTGAGGATATAGCTCAGCAATAGAGCACATGTATGTGGGAGGCCCTGTTTTCAACCTCCAGCACATTAAGAAGAAAAGGGTAACAAGGAATCAGAACTTAACATTGCTTATTTGAAGAGCTATTATTTCTGAAAAATGGTAAGTTTTCTAAAATAGGACATTTTTGCTTTGGGGTCTGAAAGAGAGTTCAGAATGGATTATGGGCTGAATGGATTATGTTCTTTCTGGAGGCTGAGCACTTGTTTGGGCTCATCCCTGAGCAACACTGGGTATGGCCCAAAAAAACACAAGAAGGAAAAAAGAAAACTCATTACTTTAGAGACCAGAGAGCTAGTTCAAGGTGATGTCTCTTGCTTTGGATGTGGTGGACCCAGGATCAATCTGCAATACCAATGAACCCCCCACCTTGGTGTGGAGCAAACCCCAACCCCAAAATTAGAGGATCATACAGAATTGTTTAACTGCTCTGAAAATCTGGGTACTTGGTATTCACCCTTCCTGTCCACTCCACCCTCTGACTACCACTGGTCTTTTGTAAACCTTACCCAGATACTTTTGACTTGGCCAGAATGCTGTAGTTGAAATCATACACTTAACTGCTTTTTACTTAGCAATGCCATTCAAGTTTCCTCCTTCATATTTTTTCCTCCTTTGTATTTTTTCATAAATTATCAAGGTACGCCTTGTTTTGTTTTTTAATTTTCATGGAGGGAGCAGCAACAGTGTTCCCTAGGGCACTCAGCCACTCCCTAGAACAGACAGACCCAGAGGTCAGGCCTGATTGTTCAGACTGACAGACCCAGAGGGTGGGCCTGATTGGGCTGACAGCCTGATTATTTGGACTGGCAGACCCAGGATTTGTTGCTCATAGGGCCTTGATGGCTACATTCAGCAGTGGAAGCCACAGCTTCACATATACCTGGCCCTTCTCCACCATTTGAGCTTTCTCCCTGGCCCCTTGTTCTCTGTTTTTGTTTGTTTGTCTTTTTGTTTTTGTTTTTTATGTTTCCAAATCATACAACCAGCTAGGGAAAACCTGAAACATCATCTGAATAAAAGTATGAAGTGTTCTTTACATGCATAGGGAAAAGAACATTTGATTGAGAAACAAATTGGGTTCCAACTAGTGAAGTGAGCTTTAGGACAATTGGTTAAACTTTCTAGTCATAATTTAGAAATCTGAAAAATGAGGATGTATGCTTCACAGAAGATAATATGGATCAAAGATAAATTGTGAAACTTATGCCAAGCAAGTAATATATATTCGATAATTATCCCCCCTCCTATGTTCTATTATTAGAGAAAAGAAAAACTAATAGCTTAAGCTGGAATTACTTAATTCTTTCATCTATCCTGTGTGGTGACTTCAAAATCTAAACCGAGTTTTACAGAGGAGAAAATTCACCAGAGGCCATATAGTTAAAGAATGACCAAATAGGGTTTTGAATTTCAGTTATCTTGACCTGAGAGTTCTTTATTCTAATGGTGACTTTTAGACTTAAAGTGCAGTGTTATTTTGAGTCAAAAGAGAGAGAGAGAGAGAGAGAGAGAGAGAGAGAAAGAAAGAAAATAAACAAGACATTAGCCCCAAGGTATAGCTCTAGGACTTTAAAGAATCATCTTACTTTTAATGATAGAGATAGAAATATAGAAGAAAGCATCAAAGAAATTGCACAACCAGAATCCCTGTTTGTTGTTGTTGTTTTGTTTTGTTTTGTTTTGTTGTTTTTTTCCCAGTTTATTCTGATTTTTTTTTTCTTTTTGGGTCACACCGAGCAATGCTCAGGGGTTATTCCTGGCTCAGCTCTCAGGAATTACTCCTGGTGGTGCTTGGGGGACTATATCGGATTCCGGGGATTGAACTCCTTCAGCTGCATGCAAGTCAAACGCCCTACCCCCTTTACTGTCAGCTCCAGTCCCTCTGAATATTTTTAGTTAAAGCACCATACCCCAAGATTTACAAACAAGCAATAAAGATATAATACAAAACTACTGGAGAATTTCAAAATCATACTATCAAGAGGGTCAAGACATTCTTAAGGAAGCTGAACCTTTCATTTACTGGACAAAGAAGGTCTGGAGTGCCAAAGACACTGATGTAATAATGCTGGAAAGTATAAAATAATATTGTAAGTCTGATTTTAACACCAAATAAAACAAATGATGAAACATGTCATCTTTACGCTATTAACAATACTCAGGAAATCAGTTTGGCATAAACAGAGTTGTAGACAAGAATTTGGGCAAAGTTAACCATTACCTACTGCTGAGTGTTCAGTTACTAGTCTAGGAAGGGGATAAGGTCAGACTGCTCAAGAAGATTTTTCTTATTTTACATTATATTTTTCACCTTTATAAAGAGGAACCAGTCTTTTAGGAAATCTAGCCCCACCAAAGCAGAAGTTAGTGCTCAGAGAAGCAAGCTTGCCTGGCCCTGCTCTGCCCTGCCCCCGCAGAACAGAAAGCAGATGAACATCTCCCACTTCCTTCCCTCTTAAGGCAGTTCTCAGAAAGGAAATGGCAATCAAGTGCTTTCTTATTCACAGAAGCTCCCTAGACGGCAGCCTTCAGACACAAGATGGTTTGGGCTGAGCAGAATTCTTCAACCAAGGCCAAATGGTTTTAGCTCTCCAGAAATCACTTCTCCGGAGTGATAGGTTAATAAAAAGAGAAAGGGAGGTCTAAAAGAACAATTATTTCCCTCCTAATCATCTTTCCTAATACTGGAAATTCAGTGAAATAAATAGATCTATCATTTGGCATACCCAGCATGGTCAGTGATTATCTTGTTCACAAGACTACTTCTAAGGCTTTTGTTCTTGAGGCATTCTCCATTCTCATATCTCAAACATAAATTTATTCTGAGATAATTAAGTTTATGCTCATAATCCCAATACCATTACTTTATACTTAAAAGATATTGTAAAATTCAGTACAAGTAGTAAAGAAAAGCATTTTTTTTAAATTTTGACCTTGACAGTTATGCTACAAAGATAACCCACTTTGCAAAATAATTGGCAAGGTCGAGAAAGTTCTTCTGTCACTGTCACTGTCACTGTCCTCCCATTGTTCATCAATTTGCTTGAGCGGGCCCAGTAACGTCTCCATTGTGACACTTGTTACTGTGTTTGGCATATCGGGCAAGATGCTCTTGGTGGGCTCTCCGAGAGGGGCGGAGGAATTGAACCTGGGTCAAGGCAAATGCCCTACCCACTGTGCTATCGCTCCAGTCCAGAAAGTTCTTAATCTTAAAAATATTTAACCAAGGTCCAGGGATAAAATATTTGTATGTGTGAAAGGCCTGGGTGTCCCTGGCATTTCCAAAAAGAAATTTTACCCAAAGGATACACAAAGGTAATGTTAAGTATTACTTGCAGCAATAACCACACAAATCATTTCTATATTGTTAAATGCTAATTCACATTGAATATTTTTTATGTATTAGGCATTTTATATGTCTGAGCACTTTTTATACTTACTACATAGTATGTAC